AGGGGTTATGAAGATGAGAGCAGGGTGATGAGGAGGGGTTATGAAGATGAGGAGGGCAGGGCGATGAGGAGGGGTTACAGCGATAAGGAGAGGGAGGGGAGGGGTTATGAAGATGAAGAAGGGTTATGAAGATGGGCAGGGTGATGAGGAGGGATTATGGAGATAAGGAGAGTGAGCAGATGAGGAAGGGTTATGCATATGAGAAGGGGAATTAAATTGAGGATGGCAAGGTAATAAGAATTTATATAGCACCTACAGTTTGCGCAGCGCTTTACAATATAAGGAAGACATTACAATACAATTCAAGACATGATGGTAAGGAGGGCCCTGCCCGTGAGGGCTTCCAATCTAAAAGAGAGGTGCCAGTGATGCATGAGGAGGTAAGGAGAGAGGAGGAAATGAAAAGGGGGTTATGGAGACAAGGTAGGGGAAGAGATATGGAGGGGTTATGAAGAAGCACTCTGGATTTCTGGAAGGATCAATGGAGAAGTAAAGCGTGGTGGGCCAGTATTCTCCATAATGTGGGAGTATGCACACCACGTTTGCACATTATGACACACTTGAGTTGATCATAAATTTGTAGACCGCTCTACGAATATTCATATGAAAATCCTCATCAGGACATTCGATAATACCATCACAGACCTGACAAATGTTGAAAAGACTCTAACACGTGATTTTGGAATGAATGGAATTTCTCACACAAAAGCCACATTCACTGTTAGAAATGAATTCCTGTGAGAAAAAAAAAATCCATCCTTTTTTTTTTTTTTTGTTGTCACTATGGTTGGAAACATTCGGAGATTTGACCTCATTAACTATTAAAAAAAAGAAAATCTGACAAACGTTCCTAAAACAAAATTCTTCTGGTGTATGGCCAGCTTTGTCTCTGGGTCTGCTCGGTGTCACCCTGGTGAGATCCGAGTTGCCCTCACCCACTCCGTGCCCCCCCCCGAGTGCCATCTTTTCCTCTTCTTCTTCCGGGTCCTCCATCTGTATGCTTCACCCATTGAGTGGGCTCTGCTGATGTAACTCCCGCACATGCTCTCTGGAGGTACATTATCTCGGCACCCAACATCTGTAACATGCCGGAACTGTACACGCGGTTTGTGTACTGATTACAAATATTTCCTAGCTGGTTAGGAAAAGAGTTTTATGGCCAAAAGACCCGACCTGCTTGTTAATGTTTGTTTTCAGGCTTCATTTCCACTTTAATAGGCATTTATATGTACTGGTAGGATTTTAAAGAAACAAAACATGGGGAAATGTGCAGAGATGTACGGAATATGTTTGGTTTTTGGCCTGACCATTTGTGAGGCCAGGTACTGATGTTGGAGAAGAAGGCCGGGCTCGCAGTCTCCGCTCTAATTCATCCCAAAGGTGTTCTATGGGGTTGAGGTCAGGACTCCGTGCAGGCCAGTCAAGTTCCTCCACCCCAAACTCGCTCACCCATGTCTTTATGGACCTTGCTTTGTACACTGGTGCGCAGTCATGTTGGAACAGGAAGAGGCCATCCCCAAACTGTTCCCACAAAGTTGGGAGCATGAAATTGTCCAAAATGTCTTGGTATGCTGATGCCTGAAGAGTTCCCTTCACTGGAACTAAGGGGCCAAGCCCAACCCCTGAACACGGCCGGCCGGGAGCTTTACATTCAAGCGATTGGGTGTCTCTAGAGACGCTCGATCGCTTGTATTAGCAGCTGTCACTGTCTTTGCCGGTCCCGAGATCCGCTGTGCCCGATGCGGCCGGGACCGACACGGCTCTGTGACAGGAGATCAAAGGGAGTTCAGTATACGAAGTCCCTTTTGATCTCATCTCAGTCCCCTGATGCAGGAAGTGATGTATATGACATCACTTCCTGCATTCAGTGTCACTCTCCAGCTACAGAAGCTGATGAAGCCGATCTCTGCTTCATCAGCTTCTCTGGGGGTCCCTAGGTGACATTAGGGGTCTTGGAGACCCCTGATGTCTCCATAAAGAGGACCTGTCATGTAAATTGGCTATCACATAGGGGGCTTCTTAGCCCCCCATGTAATAGCAATAAAGTTGTGTGTAAAAAAAGAAAAAAGTATTACAAAAATGAAAGAATCATAAAAAAATTAGAAAAGAAAACATTTTTTTAAGTCCCCGCCCCCCACATACACACGCAGGTATGCGTCGGGGGCGCCTACGTGCGAAAACAACGATTGTGCTTATTGTGTCGCACATGTTACATATCGCTGCAAACGTCGGAGTGAGAGCTAAATTTTAAAGCCATTAATCACTGATAACACTAAACTGATGAGCAGTAAAAGCGTTTTAATCGTCGCCTATGGGCGTTTTTTGCGGGTGCACGCAATTTTAAGGCTTAACATGTTTGGTGTCTATTTACCCGACGTGACCCCGACTTTTATGTTTTACTAAAAATATGGGTAAGAATAAATGTTTCATAACATAACGTAGGGACACTTTTTTTTTTCTTTTTTTTTTCTTTTTTTTTACATTTATGGTACTTTTTTCATTATATAGTAACCCCCCCCGTGGTGATTAGTCCGGTCATGCTGACTGGTGAAATTTTTGACTGACTGGTGAGACACCATCAAATTTTTCAAGCCCTGGAAATAGTAGACCAGACTGTTGGACGAAATACACTCTTCAGCTTGCTGTAATGGGTAACACACATTTTCCCATGACAGGCGGAATGTTTCCTGTTTAATGGCACGCCAGAGGCTCGGTTAACACAGCCAGTAGTTTGTAGGAGCCCGGCCTCAGCTCTCATATAATAAACACAGTGATCTCTCTCTCTGGTCCACTTACATTGACAAACCTCTGGAGGTCTTTATTTTGTCATTCCCAACACTTGTTTTGCTTTTGAGGTTGTTGGACAGCGTACAGACGTCTCCTTTAATTGGACCAACATAACAAAGACCGCAGTTAATCAGCTTGGGGGAAGAACTGAACAAGGGGCAAGCGTTTTGTTTAAAACTCCGAGCACAAATGGATTTAATAATGCATCGATGTTGATCATGAATAATTAGCATGAGGCATGTTCTACTTTCTGATCAAGGAAAGGGGCCCTCGCTGCCATGTCTTAGAGCCTCGGTTCTCAACTGGTGGGTTGGGACCCAAAAGTGGGTCGCGGCCCCATGTTCAGTGGGTCGCGGCCTGCCTTCCACTTCTCTAGGTGAGAGGCTCATCAGCCTCCCCCTAACCTCCTCCATCGCGCAGCACTGTCAGTTCTTATGCTGAGCAGCCATTCAAATTATGCTGCCCAGTGTCAACTGGGGGTATGGCTGCATGGGAGCTCCATCCATACATGCATTGCTTATAGCTCCCTCGCATGTCCTGTAGCAATGCCTGGACTGGAGTGATGTCACATTCTTGCTCCCGGCACCTCTACAGGTGCACATGGGAACTGTACAAGCAATGCACATATGGATGGAGCTCTGTCACAGCACAGCAGCCCACACTGCCGTGCGTTCCATTGCAATGCAACTTGGGTCGCGACTAAATGCCAGAGGACAAATGTGGGTCTTGAGGTTACACTGGTTTAGAACCACTGTCTTAGAGGGATGATTTATAATAGACATGTGCGATTCGTTGCGTTCCGAATTTTGGATTTGTAATTTCGGATTCAGTACGAATTTCTTCCTAACAGAAACTAAATTAGAAATTTACGATAAAGACTTCAAAAAGAGGATTTCATAACTTGTGAAGATGAAAACAAAACATTTTACTTCATGTTCCTCTGCATGCACCGTGAACGTTTAAACAGATAAAAAAAAATTAAGAAAAGGATTTTAATGTCCCTTTAATAGTGAAGACTAGAGCACAGCAACCAGAAATGTCAACTGTGCCAATTCTGCTATGTACGTACGTCCATTCGCGCAAAACCCCACATTTCGGAAATTCGTCCGAATTACGAATCCCATACGAATCCGAAACCCGAAACATAACGCATACAGGACCCGATTTCGGAAATCCGAAATAAATGAAGTCCGAAACAAAACAAATTTTTTGCGGCTGCACATGTCTAATTTATAATGAGTTTGCACAGCGAAATATTGTGCAAAAGTTGTCCGCGGCTCATGACTTTCACTGCTCATTACTGCCACTAGATGGAGTCGAGGAGCATAGGACATTCCTAGTAATATGCTGCAAATATCGCTCACACAGTTGTCTGCTGTGCAAAGGTGTTATAAATCAGCCCCTTAGTCTCCAGTTACACTGGTGCGTCTATTTTTTTTGTGTGCATTTCTGTTTTTTTCATGCGTTATGCATTTTTGTTTTGGCCAAAGAAGGTGGAATATGGATAAAGATGATAGTCCGAAGCAGAATGGTGTCTTCTAGATTGTATACTGTGACGCCATCCACCAGTTGTTTCAGCACCCGTTGGATTCTGGGGTATAATGGTACGGTGTGGGAAGGGGATATTACAAAGACATATGTTGTGACAAGACCCATGATCAGCACCCATGTGGAAACTACAACTAAGAGGCATTTGTTTCCAGTGTACAACAGACTACAGACGAACAGTCAGCAGTTTTGGTCTTTGACACTTTGCCTAACGAAGGGAGTCCTGTGAGGCTCGGAAACGTTGCATTCACATTACCTGCACAGGTTTTCAGCAGGCACAGCTTTATATGGTGCAGGAAGTCCAGCTCCTGCTGCACTTCCTGGCCTGTAAGCGCTGCAAATCTTATAGACCCTAGCACTGCGGTCACATTTCCGCCCCCCTTCTCCTCCTGGCCAATCACAAAGCTGAACATGGGGCTGTGTGTTTTGTGATTGGTAGGGAGAAAAGGGAGGCGGAGATACAACCATAGCGCTGTTTAAAAAAACCTGATTGTGAAGTACATTTGATTATGTGGAGGTGTTATAGAGATATATTTCCAGCAGTTATGCTACCAATTGCAGGTATTGATTTAAGTTTTTTAATGCATGCATGGTTGGGCTTTTATTTTTATAATATCTGCTTGAGGATTATTATTTGCATTTAACAGTTCATATTTGTTTCCCAGGCTCCGACTGCATGAAGAGAAGGTGATAAAAGACAGAAGGCATCATCTGAAGACATACCCCAACTGTTTTGTGGCCAGAGAAGTGACTGACTGGCTTATCGATAGGAAAGAAGCCTCCGAAAGGCCCGTTGCTATAGAACTGATGCAAAAAATGATTGACAACAATATTATCCATCATGGTGAGTGGAGGGATGCTTTAAGGCTTGTTCACAGCAATTGCAGTGCGTTCCAGAGCGGTAGCTGGTGGAACGCACAGCAATCGCACACTAAACTTCATGTACAAAATGTTCTATAGTCATAGCGACATTAGCAACAAACTCTTTACGATTAATTCCGTAACAAAGACTAGAGGCCACCACCTGAAACTGGTAGAAAAAAAATTCAAACACAAGGGGCGAAGGGGGTTCTTCTCAGTTTGAGCGGTTAGGGTCTGGAACTCGTTGCCAGAAGCAGTGATTTCAGCTAATAGTGTGGAATCGTTCAAGAAGCTTTTGGACGATTTCCTGAGAAACGGTAATATACAGGGGTACAAGTACTCCTAATAACGAGATGACTCTATACACACACACACACACACACACACAATAGGTTGGACTTGATGGACATGTGTCCTTATTCATTCAAATACTATGTAACTATGTAAACTTCCCCCTTCATTCTGGGGCGGGAGGGGGCATGGCGGTGCATTAAAGTCAATGGCACCACAGCCACACCCCCCCGCCCGCAGTGCGATCGGATGCACGGCAAAACATTGCCTGTGATCCGTTCCACTGCGAAGGCAAAACAAATGCTGCATGCTTTAATTTTTGCGTGGACCAGAGCACAGGCAATGTTTTGCCACGCGTCCGATTGCAGTGTGGGGTGTGTGTGTGTGGCTGCGGTGCCATTGACTTCAATGTCCGCCACGCCCCCTCCCGCCCCAGAATTAGTGTGTGATTGCTGTGTGTTCCAGCAGCTACCACTCTGGAATGCACCGCAATAGGTGTGAACAAGCCCATACAGTGTATTTTCTGATTGTCTAAAGTTTTAATCTTGTATTTTATTCTAAAGGGTCTATTTATAAACAATTTGAAGAGCTATTCACCCTGCAAGTCTTACAGAATGTTTGTTTAGTGCGAATTGACGCAAAAACGGACGTTCCTATTTATGCCAACTATTGCAGGTGCTATATATTCTTTTCAGGTCGAATGTATTTGATGTAATACTGCATTTTGGCCACTAGGTGGAGCTGAGGAGCATAGGAATTAAGTATTTGTAAACACTGCTTTGAGCGTGTACATCTGTACAGGTTAGGGATGTATGTTGCAGACGCAGCCTGAACCTGTACAAATGTACGCACTCAGAGCTGCGTTTTACGGGCATACGAACATAGCCTGTCATGGATAGACGGGCTGCATGCAACACCCGTGGGTTCCGTTCGCAGATACAAAGATGAAAGTTGGCAGTTTCCTTTCGTGCTCAGTGAGGTCAGAGACTGGCCTGTTTAGTAAATCTGGCCATACATTTGTTTTTTCAAACTCTGGATCCCACCATCCAACCTAAACAGCGTGGACGGGGGCACTCCCCCTGTTGGGTTATCGTATTAGTAAATGTACTCGTGACCCAAAACGGAAGTTCAGCCAAAAAAAGGTTTGGCTTTACTTCTCTTTTGAAAATGGTTTAAATCCACTGCAAGGAATTAGAATTGAAATAACAGCGGGGAACTTGAGCTCAATGGGGGGGTGTCAGGCCACTGCATAGAGGCCGCTGCTTACACGCAGATAGCAGCAGTCCTCTCTGCAGTCTGCTGGCAGGGGGCAGGCTGACTTATTCTGGCTGTGGCTGCATTGCAGCAACAACACGCAGTAAGACTTTGCAAACCCTTTGTTCTCATCCACATTGAATTTTAAATGAGAGCCTTTGAGTTTTAAATTAGATTGCCAGGCTCTTGGTGGGATTGGATGGACATGAATAGTCCAGTGTTCTCTGTAAAGCACTGCAGAGAAAAGCATTCACTCTCTCCTCTATTCCAGCTGGGGAAGATGTGCCATTTCTAGTGAATTGCCCTCTCACATAAACATTATTGCCGTTTGTAAAACTTTACGAGGTGCTCGGCACGTTTTCTCGTTGTGTCCTGACCGTCTCTTCATTGTTGCAGTGTGTGATGAATTCAAGGATTTCAAAGATGCCAAACTCTTCTACCGCTTCAGAAAGGATGATGGAACCTTCCCGCTAGACCAAGAAGTCAAGGTGTTCATGCGAGGACAGCGTCTCTATGAAAAGTAAGTATGTGACCCCCTGAAGAACCTCCTCCAGCTTACAATGTCCGGTGTTTAAAGACCAGTCTTGGTCAAACTGCCTTTCCAAAAAAGTCACCATCTGGGTTTAGCTAAGCAGATCTGTCAGAGCCTTCTATTGGGTAATAGGTCTAGATTCAGCAACGTTATGTCCCCAAAAAATGAGGTCAGCTGTCTACCTAAATATACTGAATGACCAGGTTTTTCCATCAATTGATTTTTTCTCCTCTGATGGCACGTTGGGCATATTCCAAGATGACAATGTCAGGATTCATCGGGCTCACATTGTGAAAGAGTGGTACAGGGGGCATGAGACATCATTATCACACATGGATTGGCCACCAGAGTCCAGACCTTAAACCCATTGAGGGTCTTTTGGATGTGCTGGAGAAGACTTTACAGAAGACTCTCCCATCATCACTGCAACTCTGGATGGAAATAAATGTTGTGATATTGTACAGTATAAGCTTATTGAAATTATGCCACGGTGAATGTGTGCGGTAATCAAAGCTAAAGGTGGTTGGTCCAACGAAATATTAGAGCGTGTGACTTTTTTTTGTACAGGCAGTGTGTTTTCTTGCATTCGTTAGGATGGGGAAGCATTTATAACCTCAGTCTTATTGATTGCACGTCACTCCTGTCAGGGTGACCACACAGGAAGTGAAGAGAACTGAATCACCCTGTATGAAGATATTTTATTACAGGTACTCTGTTATTACAGAAGGTATTCAGTAGCTCAGAAGTAGTATCCCAATTTTACTGCCAACTGTTTGGCTGCTAATAAACCAGCCTCGATGAGCCATTCATTCTCTTTTAAACATGCTGATCTTGGTTATTAACTCTGTTTTATGTTGTTACAAAGCTCATTGATAGGGCATTGAATATACACGGGGCAATTGTGCACTGAGCAGAAGGAAGCTCAGGGAAGCACAGTGGCTTAGTGGTTAGCACCTCAGCCTTGTAGCGCTGGGAGTGCCTGGTTCAAAACCCGGTCAACACACTATCTTGTAGTAGTTTGCACGTTCTCACCCTGCTTGTGTGGGTTTCCTCCCACACTCGAAATACATGCTGGTAGGTTAATTGGCTCCTGTCTACATAGGCCCTGTATGCAGTGACATAGGGACCTTAAATTGTAAGCTCCTCAAGGACAGGGACTGATGTGATTGTGTGCTGTGTAAAATTGTCAGTGCTATATAAACACCTGTAATAAATACATGCTGAGCCTTCCATTATATCAGGCTCAGCCTTAAAGGAGAGCTATGAGGCGAGTGACAATCACTCAGCCTCATAGTTCTAGCCGACCTGTGACAATGAAACTGAAATGAGCTAGTTTGTGTCCTCCTGTTACCCTTAGGAGAACTATGGGGAAAAGCCCTGGCCCTATAGTTCTCCTTTTAAGCTGGCTGTAAACACTGCTTGAATTTTGGGGACTTTGAGTAGTGTGTGGCCCCCCCGGGACCCCAACCCAAATTGAACAAAAGTAGATTTTTTTCCGTTGACTCTTGTCGGAGGAGCTGATCCGAAATATCTTGGACGAGCAGTGACTGCAGCCAGTCAACTCAGGTGGAGGGATTCCCTTATTCATGCTGTTTAGTGTGGATGGTAGAAGCGAGTGATCCTTGCCGTTCAGTCCTTGGGGCTGAAGAAGAAAAAACACACAGAGGGGAATTTATCAAAACTGGAGCAGACAAAATCTGGAGCAGCTGTGCATGGCAACCAATCAGCTTCACTCTTCAGTTTGTTTAGTTGAACTTTAAAAAGGAAAGAGTGAAGCTGATTGGTTGCCCGGCACAGCTGCTCCAGATTTTGTCTGCTCCAGTTTTGATAAATTCCCCTCACTGTGTATGGCCAGCTTTAGCATGAATTGGTATAGATGGGGTATCAAGCCTTTTTTCCTGCAGGGCTGAACAAGAAAAAAAATGATTAGTGTATGGTCAGCCTAACGACCAAAAAATCCCTCTTATTATATATAGCAAGGATTGGGAACCTCGGCACTCCAGCTGTGCTGAAACTACAAACTCCATTATACCTCTGTGAGTCATCAGTCATGCCTGTGGCTGTCAGAGTCTTTCAGGGCCTCATGGGACTTGAAGTTCAACAGCTGGAGTGCCAAGGTTGCCTACCCCTGTACTATATAGTAGATGAATAAGAACTCCAGGTTTTAAAGTTTAACTATGAGAGTGTAAAGTCTACACTTTGTACCATAGTAGCCCAGCTTTTCCATAGGAATGAATAGCCTTGCAGAATGCATGCACGGGGCACAGCCCGAAAGATTTTCGACAGATGTCCTGTCGATCTAGGTATCAGTATCCCGCTGGATAGGGACAGGTGAGTATAAAGTAGGGGACACACACAGCACATTTCTTCTGCTTCAGCAGGAATCGGACGGAATTTACTACATAGATGACCCTATTGCACCTGAGGGAGTTGATCCTTAGGGCGACTTTTGCTGAAAGAACATGTTGGAAAATGATCAGCTGCAAGCTCTGTTTGGGTATTCTGACAGCTGCAGGGGATTCGTCCATCAATGCTTGTAAGTGGTAATGGAGGAAACTGTGGAACAAAAAAAAATTAGACACATGTATACCCGACTTAAGAATGGCAGGGTGCTGGGGGCCAGGGGGCAATATAATAAGGTGCAGTTATACTCCAATCTCTAGATCAGCTGTTGTGCAACTGCAGGTCCCACTAGGCATTGCAAGACTCTGACAGCCACAGACATGGCTCCCAGAGTTATGATTTGGATTTGTAGTTTCACCACATCTGGAGTGCCGAGGTTGCCTACACCTGCTCTAGATGGTGTCGTGACAAGTATATTCATGTACATTATCATTTTCTCCATTCCCACCTCCTTGGGCTCCCTTTTACTCTTGGCACACCCCTCCGCTGCAGTCAGCTGACAGTAAAGTTCCCATGTACTGGGCAGACAACTTGTCGCCTGTAGAGGAAATCACCAAGAGCACGCCGGCGTTCCAAAAATCTCAGAATCAGGAGAATGGACGTCGGAGTAATGCACATGATGACACTTACCTCACTCTCATCTACAGATCTCCAAACCCTCTTCTTCTTCTTTAATCAAATATGAACTCCAGATCCTGTGCGCTTGATTTGGGGTGCAGCTTGCTGGTTGTAGTGGAGCTACCGCTGCCATACGTAGCAGATGTATAATTCAGGAGTAATCCCGCAGTGACTCTGAGGGATCATTTACAAATCTTCTTGGCTGATGAGAGTGGTGGAGATTGGCCAAGAATGATAGAAACTGGGACAGACATATTCCAGCTGGGGGGGATTGTCGATCTTACTGCCAAACTGCTAATGCTCATTCTTCAACATTGAACCCGGTCAGATGTGGAGCGTTTGTTTATACGGCACGGACATTTCCGGAATCTGTTGAATTTAGAGGTTCTTAGACAGCGGGGAAATAAATCCCATTAGCATTTTGTGTGATGTTGGAGGTTACAGTTGTTGTATTAAACTCTTCAACTTTTTTTTCAATAATGAATCCAGATCAAATATACATTGCTTAGCAAAGTATTTCTTTCCATGTTTGCCCAAAAACACTTACAGTCTTCATGTTACTAAATAGTTGACTCTAACTCTCTCAGCTCAGCTTCCCTAAACTTCCTGTCCAGTACAAGATCACAAGGGACAGCACAGTCTCCAGCAACTCGTCCATCTACTAGACTGGAGAAAGGAGGAGGGGAGATGGGAATGGATTGCCTTGCTGTGTCTGTGTGTTTATGGGGAGACACACAGCTGACTAGCAGACACAAGAGTGGCTCCATAGGACCCTGAAAGGGAAAGGAGTCACCCTAAAACAGGTTATCAGGGCCACTGCTCACGGCACCAGCTTATTCTACAGAAAACGAAAACTTGTAAACAAGAAGAAGCAGCATCCATTGTAAATGATTTAGTCGGGCATTTGGAATTTTTTTAAAAACCTTTTGATTTTAATTTCACTTTAAAGTGACTTGCATCAACCTTCTTTTTTTTTTTTTTTAGTTTCCACTTATAGGGAGTCTGTCCATGAAGTGAAATGTCTGTGCAAGAAGCCTTAGATGAAAGCTGCCATTCACCGCCTGTTCATCTGCACATTAGTTCAGCCATTAATCTTTGTAAGCACCGGTTTATTAAATTGCATCCATCACAACCAGTTAACGCATTTCAGGTAATCCAGACCAAGCTGAAGGTGGAATGGCTGTGCTGCTGTCATCTACTTATCACATTGTTGGATTCGCTTGTAGTGTGGGTCACCTGTTCAGTCATTGTGAGTGGTCATTGCTTGGGCCCATGTCAGACCAGTGATACTGCTACTGGTGGCAACTCAGCAGAATCGGGATCAATAAATAGATGACATGTCTGTTTCTATGGTGTTGCTTCATCGCTGCATGAATCACTTACCAGCGCGGGAGCCGCAGTGGAGTGAGTCCTTGCTGGTCCGGCCATTGAGGGAGCAACGCCATAAAAGCAGCCGCGTGGTCTTTTTGCCTTTCTAGTGATGTCACTCCAGTGGGCCTTACACACTTGGGGAGGAAACTTATAAAAACTGGAGCACACAGAATCTGGAGCAGTTGACCATGGCAACCAATCAGCATCTTCGTTTAATTTTCAAAGCTCAACTGAAGAGAGAAGCTGATTGGATACTATGGGCAACTGCTCAAGAGTCTGGTCTTCTCCAGTTTTGATAAATTCCCACCTATGTATGCTGGTTTCGGAACAGTGAAACTGAATAAGCTCAAATTTACTAAGACAAAACTAGTATGTGGCCAAGCAGTCTCTGATGGCTTCCATTTTGATGCTTCTCACATAGGTATGTTGCTTTGTGACAGATTCCATTTTTAGGTTGTGAGATCTTCCCAGGCTGGTGTTGCTGACTTTCTTCTGAAGATGCTAGTTGTCTGACTATCATTCTGGTCTTTTGTCATTAGCAGTTTGAGTGGTAGGTTGGGATAAGTTATGTGTTAAATGGTATCTATTAGGGATGC